TCTACTCTTTCCTTTGCTCTTTGCTTTATTGCAGTGAGATGAACAGATGGTTTATAGTCTTAGGGAAGATCCAGTGAGAAATTGTATGAATAAAGATATTTGTGTAATGATTTGGAAAATAAGTTATTTTAATTGCATTCAATTTTGAGAAATTTAATTGGAACTACTGTAGAGATAATTTTCCAGCTGTTAGCTGAGAGGATTGAAAGTAGGATGTGAAGGAAGCAACAGTCAGGGATTCTGACACCTTCTGAACAATAACAATTTTTTTTATACACGAGCTGTGAAAGTCTTGTCTCATGGCTGATATATGGAGTTAATGATCCAGAAGAATGACCCACTCCTCTGCCTGTTGTGTTGACTGCTTTCAGGCTGCTGCACTATTTCCGGGGGCATCATCACCTGGAAGAGATTATGTACAATGAGAACATGAGGCGCTCGCAGCTCAAGACGCTGTTTGACAAGTTCCGCAGTGTCCTTGTGGTGACCAACCATGAGGATCCCATTATTTCAATCTTCCAGTCACCCATGGAGTAATGGCACAGCGACGTTATCTGCTCTCACCAACTGGAAATGATGAGCACTTAATAGTCTGCTGTGCACACAGCAATATCAGGATTTCAAAATCTGACTACAAAGTGCTTGCATTAATGTGTGCAGATTTACAAGGTCTAGAAAGTGTTTTAGCTCTACGAGCCAAATGTTTGTTTACAATATTAAATTATTTTGTACATAACAGAAAATACCTCAAGTGTTCACTGTGAATATTTCTAAGATTGGTGTAGAGGGGTTTTAACCTCATCGTCCATTCTCCCAGATGTGTCCGATCATCTGTACTGACCACAGAGGGGCACACAGACTAATCATCATTCCAGACCTCCAGATACCTCTTGCCAGGAATCCCAAAGGTCGAGGGAGAAGGAAAGAAAGGGAAGACTCTAAACATGAGACGGTCTGTTTTTGCTTTGAGGGAAGCAGAGCGTTCCAAACATCTGTAAAACCACTGACAGGAGAATTGTCCAAGTTTGTATGTTTATTAAAAAACACAGATGGAAGAAAGAGAGAGTACAGATGCGTCACAGAACAGATTTTTACAGGCACTATCTGAATTTAGAATCTTAACTGATCATGGATTTTATTTTACCATCTTGACCTCCTTTATTTAAAGATCAATATTATGTAATGGAGTAAAAGGAGAACATTCTGTAGTTTTTATTCTGCTTAAATGGTAAAGGGAACAGATGGGGGAGTATTTTTCAGGAATCATCCTGTTAAGTCCTTTTGACGTTGCTCTGTTCTCTGTCAGGCTGCACATCTGAGGAACCTAAATCATTTATTGCATTTCCAGACTGAGGCTGTCTCTCTGCTTCTTTATTCAATACACTAACACAGGGGTGCCCTCGAAGATAAAACCGCCATGGCTTCTTGGCCCATTCGCCATGGGACTCGATTCCAACACGTGGTGCTGATACTATATCGTACGTTTCAGCTGGACTTGCGTTGGGGTCCCCTTCCAGCCAGACCTCTGGATCTGAGGCCAGGTCTCGACGGTCAAAACAGCGCGGTATATCTAGAGCTTGGCACAGCTTCGAAGGCCCGTTGCAAAGCTCTTTGTCCTTAAGTTGTCGGGCACCCTCTTTGCGTCTGGCTGCCCTCAGTTGCCTCATGTAGGACTGACCCTGTAGAGGCTCGATGGAGCGCAGCAACACAGCAGCACCCTCCCCTGGGACAAACCAAACAATATGCATAAGTCGGCATGGCTCCATTTCGTCTCCTTCCTTTTGCCCTTTACCCACCGAAAATAAAAAATACAACTTGATACGCACAGTAGCAGTTTAACGTCATACTAATGATACACTTGGAAGAGAAAGCATTTTATAACAGTTTTATAACATTGTTTTTCTGTTTGCATGCATCAGTAGACATGGCTATCGAAGTGAACACAACATGTGGCAGGTATTCCTACTTTTAAGTCATCTCTGGTTCGTAATGCTTTTACCTTCACTGGACACATTCATGCAGAGGTGGATGCCATAAATGGGATACACATAAATTGTGCCTGGCTTCATGAACATGGCCGTGTTCCTCTTTGTGCGTTTGCCTCCCGCTGAGTGTGAGGCTTGGTCCTCTCCGCCGAGGTAGGCTTCAGTTTCCACTACAGTACCTCGCAGCTCAGCGCCATCTGCAAACCTGCGGACCAGCACCTGCAGGGATAAGGAATGAGGTAGATTGTGTTTATACTCATCATTGATTAGCTAATACACAGAAGGTAAATTGACAACAAAGTTTATCATTCATTTAGCCAAAATGGAAAAAAGAATAACATTCTGTAAAATGACAAAA